TTGCTGGGCGGCTGGTAACTGAGCCAAAGACGAAAGAAGAAACCATTACTGAAGGCAAGACCTCCTCCTTTTTCTGGATTACCTGTCCCAGGTCACTGAATTGAAGATCTCCCAATAGGAAATCACACTTCTTTCACGGACTCAAGTACTGAAGAGTTGGTTCATCTACAGATGACTAGTATAGCCACAGACCCTGAACCTTGAATAGTCACACCCAGTGAAACCTGAAAGGAAATAAGAAGCCTGCCTAGTTTCCTCAAGTCATCCCTGAGTTTAAAAGAAAACCCAAATGACTAGCCTCATGGCATTCTCCATGCTCCTCCCTAACTAAAAGACCTTTCAACAGACCACTAGAACCGATTAAGATGCAGAGGACAATCACTTTTTCAGAGGTTCCAGCAATGTGTGAGCCCAGGCCTTACAACCTCTTTTCCCTATATAAAGGGAGGAGGCAGCTCCAGGAGGATCACCAGATCATTTTGCATGACAGGCAATAAAAGGCTTGATACTCAATGCTAAATGAACTAACAGTGGCAGGACTGTGGCAAGATTTAATTATTGCGGTGATTTAATTATGACATTGTATCTATTCTCAAGAGAGGTTCTTGAAAATTTCCTTCTGAGTAACTGATTTAAACATTTTCTTTGACTTAAGAATATTTAAGATTACTTTCCCCTTTGGGAACTGTTTCAAGTTATTCATACTGGATTAAACAACTTTGCAACACCTTCTTTCTGCACACTTTTAAACTCCTTCAGTCTGTGTAACACTGTAAGGCCTTCTGCCCAATTTGGGCAATAAAATGCTGCAGTTCCATCAAAAGATCTCTGTAAGAAGATAAAATTCCCGTTGAAAGCATTGAACAGGTACCAAGAGAAATCTGTAATAGCAGTTTCTGTCATCATATTTTTGAATCATGTATCCTGTTTTGCTCTTTCTCATTTATTAATAAATCATTATGATGGCTAAAGTATGGCAAATATCCTGCTGTGCTTAAAACAGCAGGAGTTACAGAGCTGAACTTGCAGTCATGACAGACTGTAATCATCAATGTGCTTTGGCAGATTGTGTTTTGGTTGTTAAAATTAGACAATAGCTCAAAATACCCCTTCCACCCTGCCAAAGCCACCTGACGCAGGTGGCAGGAAACAGATAAGCCTATAGACTAAAACGTAAAACAGATCTCAGGAAAGAAACAAAGCAAAAGGGCAACTAGGAATAAATGCCTGGTTCCAGAGAAGCATGTAACAGCAGAAGTCTTTTGAAATGGACTTAGAAACTGTTGCGGTTTTGGTTTTACCCAAGAAACTACTTTGCCTTCCTTCTTCCTACATTCACACTGAGATTTGCTTTGCATTTTCTTCAGCTGCAGAACTCCGTCAAAATTCACACAGGGCACCTGTACCCTAAACCCTATGCAGAGTTGAAGGAATATGAAATCTCAGCAAGACAGATTTCTTGTAAATCTCTGTTTCATTGATTTGCTGCCACAGTTAAGACCACACTAATAACAACACAGACAAGATGGCAGCTGGAAGCAGAGGAGAAAAAAGGGCAGTGGTGAAGGACTCTTGTCAGTGTGACAAGCAGTAATCCAAGTATTTAGCTATTCATTTTTTCCCCATAGAACGCACCTCTGTGTTTGAATGGTCCCAAGACAGGGAAATCTAATACTTTGCAGAGGTGTGAGGAGAAAAAAAGTGAACGCTACACACAGGTCAGATACCCTACCACAGCAAAAGGAAAATTGAGGCAACAGTGGGGGAAGTAAGCCAACACTTCTCTTTTTAGAAGTGGCTCTAATTTGTGCCTGTTGAAGCATCAGTCCATTTCAAAACAAATCTCTCTGTCCAAATTTTTAAGGATGGAGGATTTTTGCCAATTTTGCTACTTTCTAACTTCCTTGAATTGTTTGCTTTATAAAATAGGCTTCAGGAAAGTACAGTTACACGGATTTAAACAAAAGTCAGCTACTTAAAGCACAATTGGACAACCACGTGCCATTCTACATTCCCACCTCCGCTTTTTAACGGCCAGTCAATTTTTTCGGAGGTGTTTACGAAATCACTGCTATGTGCAGGTACCAGTTGTGGCCAATACAAACAGGAAGTGATGCAGACCTTTTTTACAGATGATTGTGTGAATGTAACAGATCCCACTTTAAAAAAAGAGGGAATTCCAACAAATGCTTGGTGAACATATTGTGCTCATTAATTTAACATGAAAAGCCAGAATTCCTTTCCTAGCCTAGCCAGTAGCAGATAGCCTTCATCTTCTCTTTCTATATTGCTATCAATCAGAGAGATTGCAGTATAGTGTGGGGTAGACCACAGTGCAGGAAAAGTCAACTGCTGAAAGACAATCAGTTGTTTCCATGCCAGCCTTTTTCCCCCACCTCAGAGCTCTGCGATATTGACAGCCTAGTGGAGTCCATAGCTAGCCCTGACATCACTGCATCAGGAGTTAGTGAGGTTTGGTGCTTTTTTTAAAAAAGGGGAAAAAAAAAAAGAGTTGCTGCAGGAGAAATTCAAGCCCATTGTCAGAATGGACCGCACCTCTTCTTAGAAAAATCCTTTGATAACAGGAACGGAAGCATCAGCAACTGGGCAGCAGGCCCCTCTTCAACCTGGTGCTACAAAAACCCTCAAGGCAAGCAATAATCACCCCTCTCAATGGAAGGAACATTTACTTGAGCCAGCCACTAAACCAACTTCACCAACATGAAAAGCTTAAACACGCAAGAACGCTACACACCAGCCATCTATCAGCATGCCTTAAATTTACCTTGCAGACGTACTTTTGTTGGGCTGCTTTTCTGGAGGGTTATAAAGCTAAAATACCTGAAGGAAGGGCCCAACAAGCACAGCAGCCAGAGCATAAGGTGGGGGGAGGTGGGGATCTTTGGCCAGGATGGAAGGAAACAGTGCTGAACGTTAAGAATATGAAGTTACCTTTGTATTTTCAGAAGCCAAAGGGCGGGGGGAAGAAAGGGGGTGGCAGGAGCACCCCAACCATGGGGCTGTGGCATTGCAGCAACCCACCGTGCCATGGGAAGTCACACTTTAAATTCCCAGAGAGTAAGAAGAGAGGGTATTTTGCAGAGAAAACAGAAACAATCTGCTGTCTGGCCACACATGCCAACAGCATAGCAACAGTTGTTTAAACGTCTTTTCCTTGTCACATTTTGAATTTGAGCACTTTCAAGTTTATTTTAAGTATGAAGCGTAACAGCAAGAAGGCTCAGGAACACCGTGAGAAAAACACAGCATCTAAAGGAAGGAACTACTTTAGAAACAAGATACAAAATGTCAAGCTAGTTTTGGCAAAGTCCGGGGAAAAGAGGAGAGAGAGCAGTTAAAAATCTAACACACCATTTGCTTTTTATTTTTAATCAGGTATAATAAATGTACACAAAAGGATGCATCAGCATTTTTGTTCATCTTAAGTATATGAAATGGTAGGTAGGGTAAGTAGATACATGGCATGAGTGAGGTCAGAAGTATCAAGACTGGTTCAAAACATTTCAAAATGTCATGCTAACAGGATATTAAGGGAAGCTTTTAAAGCTGTCATGAACAGGGCTTGATTAATATCAGAGCTAGTATCCACACTACACACAAGTTTGACATGGACTGAGAGAAGTAATTTTCCTCATGTCTAATATATCCAGGAATTTCAGCTGTGAAGGCTACAATAGGGTTAGCATGATGCCATCTTCTCGGATTTTGAATGAGTTCATTGACTAAACAATTATTAAACAGTAAGTGCAAATTGCTGCACTACTTTATCATGCTAAATTCATGTTTAGAAAGAGTCTTAATAAGGCTGAAGGAGAGGCAGCAGCATTTGAGATATTAAAAACCAGTCTAGCACCAAGCAACTCCCAAAGTCTAATCCCGTAACCACCCTTTGGTGGATGCCTTTTGGAGAGGGGGAGGAGGCAGGGGGGAAAGAAAGGAAAGAAAATCACAGTATACTGCAATGAAAGTCACAAGTGCTTCACACCCTGGATAAGTAAAAAAACTTCTTCATTTCCTGAAGCTACACATAGTTGAAATGTCAGTTAAGACCAACAATTTCAAAGACGATGACAACATTCTACCCGTTACAGTGTTTATGGGAACATCACACTCCAGGATATTTGAGAACTGTATATTATCAGGGTACTTTTGAAAAGCAGTCACCCTAATCAGTACACTGCCTTCTTGATCCTGCCAACAGTCCAATAACATATATGTTCAGTGCAGCACTGCACCTCAGGAGTATTTTTAAGTGCCCTCAAAACAAAAGCTTCTTCTACAGCTCTCATCAGCCTATGCTAATGAATTCTCCTCATCTCCCTCACAACACACACGTGGTGAAAGGTTACTCCAAAAGAAGAGGTTCATTTACATACATCACCAAAGGGATCCAGGAATTAGACTTTTTGCAGTGCTTTGAAGGCATAGCAAACTGAGGTTGGAAGTTTTCCCAGGCTGAAATGTGTATCTCACTATTCTCTATCTTTCTGCAGCACTTGCAGGTTCCTAGCTGGCCTAATTCTTCTCCTCCTGAAATCGGTGAAAACTACTTCCTGGGGATCACCAAAGCCAACATTAAATGCCTTGACAAAGCTTTGCACTAAGTGTACAACAACCTCAACTTCACTCTCAGCCAGATCCAGTTCCCCATCCCCTGTAAGCATAAGACAGCCACTGTAAAAAACAAAACAAAACAAAAAAACAACAACAAAAAAACCCAGATTTTAAATGTGTTCAACCTTGCATCTTTTCCTTCTGTAAAGCAATTCAGATTTTGTAAACTAAATGCATATTCTAGTTCTGAGATGCTTGCATTTTCAATATATTAAAAGTCTATCAAACTGAAATGACAATGAAGAAAAAAATGTGATCTCATTTGTATGACTGCTTATTTACTGTTTTAGAATTCTGGAGAGTCTTACATACAGAATTAGAGGGCATTTAGTTTTTAAACTAAATTTCTTGGCCTAGCAAAGTGAAAACTGATGTTCATGACTTCTAGGCAGGTACTTCTACAACTTCAAAATAGTCATTGGGCAGAATCACATAGCCTTTTCCTGCCAATATGTCTTTTTCTTTCTGAAACTGAACAATCTCTCTCAGTTTTTCAATTTGTCTTTCCTGACGCCGGCATCGCTGTTGTGCTGTCTTGAGCTTCTTCCGCAGTTTTTCAACTTGTTCCTCCAGCTGCTGAATTCTTTTTCGCTGATGAACTGTATCCTCTACGGTATAGTTGTGATCACAAAAAACAGCAAGATTGCTAGGGGTCTGGAGAGGAGGCATCAATAATCCAATACTTGGATCTACAAATCTGGCATCTATTTGAGACAAATGAAAAGAAGGAGTTGATGGAGATGGCGGTAGTACTGGAGCTGCTGGTGGTGGTGGTGGTGGTGGTGGTGGTGGCGGCGGCGGCGGAGGTGGTGGTAGTGGATCTTCTGGCTGTTCTGCAAATTCTTCAGGCTAGAAACAACAATTTTAAAAAAGTGTATTTTCATGCTTAACATTGTTTACAACAGGACTCCCTTACTACAGCCCCAGACTAACATAAACAACCAGGACTGAAATTAATAAAACAAATTTCAAAGCCTACATTTTCAAAATTGACTAACAGTTCTGGGCCTGTTTTATCTGGCTTCTCAACTGGAGGTATTTGTAAGCAGCTTTGTTTTCAGGGCTCTCTGAAGCTCAAGTCCTTGATGTCTCAAATAAATCAAAAACTGAAGAATGTTGCAAGTACTCTCACTTGAAGACTTAGGTCAAAAACATATCTACAATGAGCTAAGAAGCAAGAATGCAGGCTGCAGCTCCATTAAACAGCATTCAGCTGACCTAATAACTCAACGCTACCCTCCCATTCCCCTTTGTCCCTCCTTCTTTCTGCTGCATCTTACCATTATATACGTCGAACCTATCAGCCAACTTGATCAAAGACACAGCAGAAGTGGATAATCTTCTGCTCAGCTAGAATAAGGGTCACCTACTGATGGGTCTTATAAGCTGGCAGAGCAGAAAGGTAGACTCAGCAAGGCTTGCCTCTCAACAGCTGGCAGGGACTGTGTCACTGTTTCTGGGCTGCAGTGTAAGGGTTTGGTTTCAAGAGACATGATAAACCAAAATAAACAGCTCTTCAACAGCAAAGCAGCCCTCCCAGCCCTGGTATTGACCCTCTGCTCAAACATAGTCAGCTGCTAGAATGACAGAAAGCTATTCACTCTCCCACCGTCACTGCAGAAATCTGCTGTCCTTTATTAAAAGTCAAAGCAATGCAACACGAGGTATGACCTACACCTGCACTGGTGTGTGGAAGGAGTGAGAAACAGGACTACATGGTTGGCAGATGGGATGGAGAAGGGAGAAGCACGATTCTCCCTTTTGGCAGCAGCAGAATATCGATTGGCTCAACTCCACACAAAAATGAAGTCTTTATCACACTGCTCTTGATAGGTTCACTTGTACGGTTCAGGACAACACAGATCCCTCACCACGTGAGTATAGGCCAGAGCAGAGAATCAGATTCTTTCTGCCCCAAAGGAATGCAGTATAATTCAGAAACGCTTCTGTGCACATGATGATAAAAAAAGCACTGTTTAAACAAAAAAGCTTGCATATGGCTTGTCAAAAAGAAAGCCTAAGACATTCTCAGTGAAAAGAGGCACTGAACCAATTTTCTAACTACCCACCTGTTGCCAATATTATTACTACACATAAAAGGATAAAGACAGGAACAATATTGACTCTAAGAGCAGTTGACAATCCTCATCATCTAAATATCAGGCTCATCAGATCTGAAGGTCATGCCATGAACTTGTTGACTTAACACGCAAACAAGCTAATACTTGATATTGGGGAGAGTCTAGATATCCTTCTTGTACAAACTACAACACTTGGCAGACAGTAATCGAGAAGGTGGTTTTGTGATCGGTGTTGAAAGGGAAGTTTCGTATGCACTCAAATACTACCGATCACTTTAAAGTACAAAACCAGCCAACTACCACTCTTATTTCTCAATTATAAGAAATTGCTTTTAACAGTGTGCCTATCTAACTCACACATGAATATTCTAAACAGTTTGACCGTATCAGCTATCACTTTCAAACTTTTCTACTAAAACAACTTACAAGGCAAAGACGTAATTGGCAAAGAGAAATTCACCCTTGCTGGAAGCACAAGCAAAAATCCGATCATTGCTGGACAGCTAAATTCACACAGAGACTTCTATTTGCACCTTACCCAGCACATGCTACCTCTATAAATACATTGTCACAACGTATGACAAAGAACAGATCACTGGCATCACTGACACATCATAAGCGAATTCTAATTACTTCTTACAGTGGTGGTTCTCTGAAGACATAAGTAAAGAAAAAGGAAGTATTTCAAATTTCATAATGCAAAAGATAAAAAGCTGTGTTTCAAAACCAGTGTGGATTCAATTCCGAAACAACCACTACTATTCTTTGTTACTGGAAGTAACTAGAACATTACTCCTTGAAGATATGGGCCAGTTCATTTAAAAGTGCCATGAGACAAACAGAAATAGCACTAAATTTTTCTCCATAATTAAAAGGCACTCTTTTGTGTTTTTGTAGATCCAGGTATGATAATGAAATGGGGAACATGGCTCACCACTAATCCTGATGCACCAATCACACTTTTGCAGATTACCCTATACACCCATTCAGCTTTCAGACTGTAAAAAATTTTGCAACTATTTTACATGTGACAAAGAAAATGTGTGTTGTACAGATAGCAGGGAAGCGTACTCAGACAAAAATCTTAACACAGATTTGTATGTATCTGTAACATATCTGTATCTGTATCTGTAACATATATGTATCTGTAACATATCTGTAACACAGATATGTATTTGCCTGGACATTGTCTTTCCTTATATACCTTCTGCTTATATTCTCTCCTGTTATTAGCCACTTTTGATTTTTCAAATACATTCCCTTTTTATTTCTACATCAAATCCAATATTGTACATAAAGAGAAAAACCAAACAAGCAAAAGTCCCAGTCTTCCTCTGTGCACTTCAACCCTTTACAGTCTTTCACCCGCTAGACCTACTATATCCATTCTCTCCTTCGCCACTTCCTCTACAGCAGCGTGGCAAGAGATCTAATATTTTGTATCCTTTATAGGAGTTAAGAATCAATCTTTTCTGTTCTTGTCTTGCAGTTATTACATCAAGAAGGAAGAAGTCATAACTGACCTGCATCTCATAATGAGCTGCTTTAGCAGCTTACAGTGAAGGGGAGAATACATCTCACAGGAGATTACCCTCTGAACTTCAGAGGCCGAAGTTAGGGACCAGTCTGGCTTATGAACACAAGTAACTGCTAAGGCAAGACAGAGATGGTTTCAGCACAGGCAGACAGCAGGTGCAGCTACTGTTCCGCCCCTCTGTTTGCATCTCACTTTAACTCTGCGAAGCCAGAGGACAGAGCCCTTTACAGAGGGCAGTTAAGCTTCAGAGCTAAGGTCCATCATCTCTTCAATGTTAGCAGTAGCCACCAGTCAGCATGGGAGAGTACAGTGCAATTTGTGAGTATTATTGAAGGCTCTCTAAAAATCCAAATATGCCACAAATACAGCTGAACAAGTTAGTTAACTAAAGGGCAATACTTTCCTACTTTGCTGCCGTTCCATTTAATTCAGCACGTTTTACCCGAAGTTACGCTGCTCAGGCTTCTACATACGCACAGACGAGCGAATCAGAGCTACTGCACGCCTGTACAATGCTCTATGTGCTCCAGAGCCTTTGCTCTTGTCAAAGCAAACGACAGCAGCTGTTGGACGTGTTTCAGCCACCACAGCTCTCCGCCTGCCTCCGGGTGCACGTGCTCAGCCGATACCCTTCACAACCTGCATCTTCTCCCTGCTGCTCTGCTACATCAAGCCCTCCTTGGCTAATACGAGCAACATACACACGTTCCAGTATCTTAAACTACGAGTGCTTTGGGATTACCTTTTCACTGGGTTCTGTATAACAAAATATTGTGGGCACTGCATTTTCTTTCAGAAGCTTGTTGTTGCATTCCCTTTTAAAGCAATCGGGAGTAAAGTGCTCTGAACAAATGCTGCTATACTTGGTTGGCTTGAAGTTTTTCCTTTTGACAGCAGCTTCCCATTTCTTGCAAAGATCAGGTCTTGTAAGAGGAAACCTGTAAATAAGAAGCACTTTCAGCTTTTCTGGGAAGCTTTTTAACACGGGGTCGGGTTACAGCTAAGCACTGCTCTGCCTGGCTGCGTGACGGCTTGGTTTTCCCTCTGACGGGCTCATCCTCGCAGCCCAACGCCTGCTGCCAGCCCAGACCTCGCAGGCGGACCGGGCCGGGGGTCTCGGCCCTCTGAAAACCGGGGTGGGGGG